GACTGCCATGAATAGAATGCTTACCATGAGGCTAATTGCTTATGTGATATAACTGCCTGAATGCCTGTGGGTGAAGGTTGGGTTATCTGGATTGAACAAATCATTAACTGTGAGTTTTAAGCCCACTAGATAGTGGCAAAACCATCTTTTCTTAAGCCCACCTGAGGGTGGCAAAATCTTCATTTTAAGCCTACTTGCGAGTAGCAAACCATCTTTCAAAAACAAACATGAAATGTTTTGTTCCATTCAGGCGATCCAATCTATACTTGTATGTTGTGCGCATCACATAGTAAATCTAGGCTAATAACGGAATAAGAATTGAGCCCAACTTGAAAAATAGATATCATGGTTAGTAGAGACCGATCTTTGATCGGGCGAGCGGGGGTGCTCACGAAGTGACCTTCCCCAATCGTACCCAAGTTCCCGAGCCGAGGCAACTTTGGTGATGACGGACACGTGGCCTTAGGCAAACGAGTCAGGGTTTCCTAAATTTCTCAAAATAAAATATTTAGGTGGGGACTCTGTATCTGGAAAAGCAGTCCATGTTTGGCACTTCTTTCAAAATCTGTTTTTCTCAAAACGATTTGTCGGATTTGGACTCTTTGGTTCAGACTAAGAACCGTGACAAATTTTAGAGTCCTGAGCTGTAGTGACCCCAATATCGAACAGAACGGGACTCACCCTCCCGGGGCGTTCGGGGGACGTCTACAGATTCATACAAGTGTAACACTTTTACAGTTCACCACATATATGAGTTGTCTGACACAACTACTCAACATATCTAATGGATAAGATGTAAATTAATTATGATCTAAAAAACATAATATTACTGGACAAGATGTAATAAAACACCAAAAAAATAAAAAATGAAACTCTTTTAAGCCAGTGTAATGGTAAACATAACAGCTATAAATGACGAAAGAGGCAATGTGAGTGAGAAATTTAAATCAATGAGAAGTAGAAACACACTTTTAACTAGGTACAACTTATAAACATAATGAGAAGCCCACTCAATAATCTATAATAAGGTTATAGGTATATAAGCTATTACAAAGATCTCAGTGAAGAGCAAAGTTTGAAAGGAACAGAATTTACCTGGTATTGAATATAATGGGTGGAAGAAGATATATACAGAAAAGATCTTCACTAAAGACTAAAACATGTGAGCTTCTTCCCCCACTTGTAAGCAAAATCATAGACCCAGTACACAGACCCTGTCACCAACCACATTACAAATTACATTATTGAATATTTTAAAAGAACGAACGTACGAATGCTGATAGATATCATCAAGAATTTAGCTTCACATATAATTCCTTTTTTTAGCTATACAATAAGTTACGATATCATCAAAAAAATTTCACTAAACACGAAAATAACCCAAACTTTAATGAACAATGTTTCATGCTAATCCATCAAAGAAGAAGATTCTCTAATAAAGATGCTAATGAAAATTATAAGCACAAAAAATATAGACCAAGCACACTTGCCAAACACATAATCAATTGCAAACATAAAAATACTCGCATACATTGTCATTCTGAGATCATGAGACCATCTATAGTATGAGCTATCTAATCCCAAATAGTCTTGCAAATTAGAGAGTTAATTGATTTGAAAAACAAACAAAGTAATGAAAAACAAACAAAACTACCAGCAGATTTGATAGATCAGATTCAACGATCTGATCTGATCTAATCTGAGAATGAAAAAATTAGAGAGTTAATCAGCAGATTTGACAATGAGAAAGTAGAGCAACAGAGATCAATCTGGTTCAAACTCGAACACCGATTAAGAGAATGAAAAATGTACCTGAGATAAGAGCAACATAGATCGATCTGGTTCAAGAATGATATCGATTTTGGATCCGCGATTTGATGAAGAACAAATCGAGTTCGAGTTCGAGTTTGATGAAGAGACTGATCAAAGCTCTCCAGCGACAGATCGATGAAGAGCAACAGAGATCAAGAGTTCAACGAATATACAATGCCAAATCTGCAATCGAGCGAGCGAGAGAGATTGTGTATGTGTCTTTGATCTGGTTCAATGAATATCAATCGAGGGCTTTGGAAGAAAGAGAGAGAGAGAGAGAAAGACTGAGCTATGGAAGAGACACAGAGAAAGTGAGAAATGGAGTATGGACGGTGTCAATATATACACCCAATACGACGCCGTTCAATAGAGCTCAAAGACAACGTCTTGAAAATGTTGTCTTTCATTCATCTATAATGGCATTTTCCAAAACGCCATAAAAAAAAAACGTTTCAGTAGGCCATTTTTCCTGTAGTGACAAATGATGGTGAAATAAATAAATAAATTTGTCAAAATTATTACACTTTGTGGGTTCAAACATTGCAACTCAGAATCACCTTGAACCATGTCACCGTGAGTTTGGACTAATGTGTTGTTTTTAATTTTATTATTTATTTAAATTATTGGAGAGTGTATTTCACACGCACACCACTTTTAGAATAGACTTGATTTTTAAAAAAATAAAATAAAAGTGAAATTGACACAATAAGTGGAAAATTTTATCCCCATCCTCTTCAAACTTAAAATTAGATTAAGATATTAATTAAAATTAAATTACATTAAATTATAATTAAAGATTGATTTAAAATATAAAATATAAGGATTGATTTAAAATATAATTAAATTAAAGTATAAAATAAATAATAATTTACGATTGATCTTAAATATAAGGGAAAGTTACCCATCCTCTTCAAACTTAAAATTAGATTAAGATATTAATTAAAATTAAATTACATTAAATTATAATTAAAGATTGATTTAAAATATAAAATATAAGGATTGATTTAAAATATAATTAAATTAAAGTATAAATAAATAATAATTTACGATTGATCTTAAATATAAGGGAAAGTTACTAATAAGTCCTAAATGTTGAAATTGTGTTCCATTTGGTCCCAAAAAGTTTCTTCTGATCCATTTGGTCCTTTCCATTGTGAAAAGACATAAATACCACTAGTTGGGCTTCTTCAGCGCATAACAGCTGTGTTTGTTAATTTGGGTGCGCATGGTTCCATGGCATTATTTGTTTTAATATCTTTTTGGTGCATGGTGGTGACGTGCCACGTTTTCTATTTTGCTGTTGGTAAATGCTCATCATGTGCCATGCTAAGCGCGTGATTTGGGTGCCACAACATAAGAAAGTGTACTAAAGCTTTTTATGCTTTTTGCCTTGGAGTGGTGTATTCTACGTGACACACATGCACAAATGTAACACAACCACTACAAATAAATGACCTCCCATGTGGCATGTTATACAATTGAACTGTGTGGCATGTCATACAACTGAACTAGACAGATAGATCAAGCGACTACCCCTAACACGAAAATCAAACAAAAAAAACCTTACCTTTACAACTCCGGCAATGCCAACGGCTGATTTCAAAATTTTAGTTAATTCGTCACGCAAGCACACAACCAAAATCCCCTTACACCCTGTAATGGCCAACTTCGGAATCTTCGTTAATGTGTCAAGCAAACACACAACCAAAATCCCCTCACATCCTGTAACGGCCGACTTCGGAATCTCCGTTAATGCGTCACGCAAGCACACAACCAAAATCCCCTCACACCTCTGTAGCGACAGCCCCAAAAACCCTAAAGTAATGATGTGAACGTCTTCTACTAGAAGATTTCAATTACCAAATGTTTGGAAGTAGTTATCAAACAAAGCAAATAGGATCAAACAGAAAGATATTCCCTCATTAATAGGACTAATTAGAACAATAGAAATAATCTTGAGACCAATTGATAAAACTGTTTGTGAGATGAGATTTATTGGTAAATATTCCAAAATATAATTAAATTAAAATTAGATTAAGATGTTAAGAATTTCAATAAATAAGTAAGGATTTGGGATTAATTGGGATTTAAAATATAAGTAGATTAAAGAGTTAGAAATTACAATAAATAATTAAGAATTTATGATTAATTGTGATTAAAATATATTTAAATTAAAAATAGATTAAAAATTAAAAATTACAATAAAAAATTTAAAAATTATGGTTAATTGTGATTTAATTGAATTAGTGTTAAAAATTATAAATTATGTGTACGAGATAGAAAAGAGAAATAAAATAATCACAAAAAAAAAAGTTTGAGAATATTATAGTAATTTCACATCTATAGTTAACAAAGTTAACAGTTGCATTTTAGCCCAAAACCACGTAAGGACTTTCTAACTATATTTGGACCATAGGTGGCGTAAAGTTCTCCGGTCTCAAACCACAAAGAGTAAGATGAAATTTTTCCATAATTAAAACTAAGTTAAATTGTGTTATTTGATATAAATTTTTAGCTTTCTTAATAATTAAATAAGTCATTACTTTGTAAGTTAAGGTTTTGATTTCTTAGGCGAAAGTTAAGTTATAGATCAGCAATTTTCTAAGATGTCAATACAGTAATACTATAAATTTAAAAATTATGCAAAAAAATTAATATATAATTCACATTTATTTTATACATAAATTTCATAATACACGCTTTCAATTTTCATCCTATATTATTATTTTTTACATAAATTTAAGACTCAGAGTCTAGCCTTCTTAGACTTTCTGATCTGAATAAAGGAAGCATACAGCAACGGAGAGGATATCTTATGGATATGATAGGTTTAAAGTCAACATAAAGAGCCTAGAAAGAACCTACTTTATTCAGGGCACGTAGGACTTTGACTGAGCATCCAAATTTGACTCCATCAATTTCTTGCACGTTCACATATAATCAGCTTTATAATTTTATAATTTTTTTTTATTTTATATATTTTTTTTTAAAAAAAAGAAGAAAATCATAGTACGCGAACTTTCTCTCTCCCTCTATCCAACAAACAAAAGGGAAAGAAAAAGTCAGCCATGCTGCTTTTCAATTCCAAAGAAAAGTAAAAGGGAAGAATTTTCTATAGCTATAGCCTGCTGTCTGGAGCTGAAATTGTCTATCTTACGAGATATCTATATAAGGAGTCTCCCCATTAAACAAACCCAACCCAAGCTTTAATTTCCTTAAGGCAAAAAAAAAAGAAAAGAAAAGAAAAGAAAGAAAATCCTGAAATTCTCTCATCTCATGGCTTCATTTCAATTTATAGCTGCAGCACTCTTCTTGGTTGCTGCTGCTGTGTGTGGAGGATCAAATGCTCAATTGAGTCCCACGTTTTATGATAACACATGCCCAAATGTCTCGAGCATAGTACGCGGTGTCTTGGAGCAGGCTCAGCAAACTAATATCCGAAATGCTGCCTTTCTCACTCGACTTCATTTCCACGATTGCTTTGTCAATGTTATAATACCCTCTCTTCCTGTACTATGTATTTGTCTTTGTGTGTTACAAACATCTTTTTTGTTATAGTCATAAGAAGCTCAAATTTATATAACTGATATATGACAATTCATGTATAACTAACTAACTGTCTTTCCGTGCATGCATGTAGGGCTGCGATGGGTCCCTTTTGCTAGACAATGCAGATGGAATAGAGAGTGAGAAAGATGCAAATATTAATAGGGCACTTAATGGATTTACTGTTGTTGATGACATCAAGACTGCATTGGAGAATGTTTGCCCAGGTGTTGTCTCCTGTGCTGATATTTTGGCCATTGCAGCTGAAATTTCAGTTGTTTTGGTAAGTAAATTAATTTCAGTATACATTAATATTATCAAGTTAAATTTACAAAAGGCTGTGTTTGCAGAACCAATGTAATTGTCAATTGAGTTTCAAATATCAACCAATAAATAGCGTATTAGACTATATGTATCATTTTCTCCCCAAACTACTATACGGCTCAATAGCTTCAATTACTTGAATCTTACATTAGGGAATTAAGTTGGGATTAATAAAGCCTTATATATATATATATATATCTATATATTGTCAATTAGTCATAGCAATATATAAATTAATGCAAATAATTTATTGTAGTCAAAAGGTCCATCATGGGAAGTTCAACTCGGAAGAAGAGATAGCAGGACAGCAAATAAAGCTGGCACTAGTGGCCTCCCACTTTTTAATGAAGACCTTAGTGCCCTTAAAGCCAAGTTCAGTGCTGTTGGACTCGACTCTACCGATCTAGTTGCTTTATCTGGTAAGGATTAGACATTTAATTTAACATTTCTTTCTTTGATTACAATTACTACTTGTCTTGGTATGAAATTTATGAGCTCAACAAGTCATTAATTTCATTCCTTCTTCATTAAGAATAAGAAAAATGAAGAGGAAAAGCGCTTTCTTTTACACCACGTCATATGTAAAACTAACAACAATTGTTTCGTTTCATTTGCAGGTGCTCATACATTCGGACGGGCTGGATGCTTGACTGTGACCCCACGCCTTTACAACTATAACAACATTAGTGGAAATGTAGACCCAACCATGGACCCAACCTACGCGCAAACACTTCAGCAGACATGCCCAGATCCCAGCACTCCTGCAGGCGTCAATACTAATGTGACCTTAGTCAACCTTGATCACACTACTGCTAATGGCTTTGACAACAACTATTTCACTAACCTCCAGAACAAACAGGGGCTTCTCCAGTCTGATCAAGAGTTGTTCTCCACCAGTGGCGCTGATACCGTTGCCATTGTTAACCGCTTTGGAAACAGCCAAAGCGACTTCTTCACTAGCTTTGCTCAATCCATGATCAATATGGGAAATATAAGTCCACTGACAGGAAATAATGGGGAGATAAGGTCTAATTGTAGGAGGGTTAATTAATTTGGTCATTTGATATCATGGGAGCACAACTTACAAAAGAATATATTATTTGTTTGGAATTTTCAAGTGCTTTCTTTTTTTTTTCTAGCATTTTTGTTTTGTTTTGTTTTATTTTGTTATTTTGTTTTTCTTCCCTCCGTTTCTTTTAGAAAAATGTCATGCATGAATTGTATTAAACAATTGATCTATGGAATTAAGAACAAAAAATAATCTCATTGCCAGTAAAGATGGGAGTTTGTTAATTTTATTCGTTTGTCTTTGTCATACTTCAGCAGTTTAATGGTCAACTCTATGTTCCAACTTTATTGATGTAAATTTTGTTTGTATTGCCTTTTTCATCAATAAAGATTCACTTTGCTGATAAAAAAAAAAAAAAAAAATCTATGTTCCAACTAATGAAACGATAGGAATTTAAGGGGGTGTTTGGCAATAAAAAAAATAGCCTAGTTTAGGCTAAAATTCACAAAAAGATAAAACAGGGTAAAATAGCTAATAAGACAAAATATCACATCAAACCCATAATCATTTCACTTTTTCTCTCATAAACATCACATCCAACTATAAAAAAATCCAATCATCTTCCCAAAGACACAAATTTTAGCCTACTAAAATAGCCAAAAACTAAAATAGCCTACTAAAATAGTAACTTTCCAAACAAAGCCTAAATGGTTGGTCAAATGAATGGAAATAAAATTTCCCGGGGAGCTTATCCGAAAAGGATTCGACCTACGAATTGTAAACTCTCTAGCAATGGAACAAGGTGAGCGGATTCCAAAGCAAAGGAAAACGAATGAAGCTTGGCGCAAGGAGGTCGGTAAGGGATTATTCTCCGTCTTTGTGGATAATCTACCTTCCAATATGGATCCTAGAGCACTGTTTAAACTATTCTCAAAGTTTGGACTAGTGAAGGATGTATTTATACCTCAGAAGAGGAGGAAAGCAACAAATACTAGATTTGGGTTTGCTAGATTTGATTGCTCAGTGGCGGCAACTGTTGCAGTCCAAAAAGCCGATGGTTTATGAGTGGAGGATAGGGAGCTTAAAGTTAAAATGGCAGAATATGGTAGACTCGAAGATAAAACAGCTAGAAGAAATCAGCTTTGAGGGGGTATAGGTGGAAATGAAATTAGGGGAAGGTATGCTCTAGATCATCATGGGTTACAGAGATCTTTTGCTGATGCTTTAAAAACAGGTGTAAATATGCCGGCAGGGAAAACAGTATCTACCATTAAGGTTAATGAAGAAGGGCATGGTTGGTTGTATGACAGTGTGCTGCTGAAATACCAAATAGAGTATTTTGTGCAGAGCATTAAGGAGGTGCTAAAAGAGAAAGGATTGGGGCATGTATTGGTCAGAAATGGAGGTGGTAGGGATGTAGTGCTGACCTTCTTATACAAAGCTGATATGCTGTCAAAACTATCGTTGATCAAAACATGGTTTAAGGATTGGTGTGAATATGTCAAAATTTGGGAACTAGGATTCTGTGCAGAGCCAGAGCGATGTATATGGCTTAGATGTTGTGGTGTCCCTCTCAGTCTGTGTTCTTAGTCTGGATGGGAACATTAGCCAACCACAGTCCTTTAGTTATGGCAGAGTCAGAATTGCTACAATTTGTATGGCGTTTATCAATACAACCATTAATCTGGAATGCAAGGGACGACTACATCCAGTGATGGTTTGTGAAGAACAACCGCACAGTTCAAAGGTGTATGAAAGCATATTATCCAGTGAGGTTGAGGAAGTCCGTAGTTCAAATAAAGTCGATAAGCCTGAACCTGTAGGGGTGGGCGGTGGTGATAAGACTGTTGAGAATCAGGCTGTAGAGGAGGAAGACGATGAAGTTGAGTTGGCAAGTTCTGGCGATATGGCACTAGGGAGAAGGCTGAAATTGACTAGTAAAAGCAATCATGGGGACACAGTAGTGGCTGAGACCCAAAGTGGTGTGGGGAACATATTGGTGGTTAAGGAGTGTATGGAGATGGCGGTTGCAAAGCATAGCTTAGAGGCTAATGATGATAATCTAAGGGTTGAGGAACATCTAGGAACATCTAAGTGTTTAAGTGGGTCTATTGGCCAAAGGCCTGGTATTAACCTGGACATGAACTTGGGCCATATCCTTGATCCAGTGGAGAATAACAGAATGGGTTTAGTGGTGAGGGACCCATGTACACAGTTAACTTCTATTTCTAATTGGGCCTCTATTAGGCCCAACATGTACCAGGTCCAAACAAACCCAAATAGAGTGACAGATAGCATATCTGGTGTGAAGAAGTAAAAAAAGAAAGGTAAAGGTAAGGTAAGATTTTCTATTGCAGCAAAATCCATTACAGAGGTGAAAGGATACTCATCTCTAGCTCGTTTGTATGGTTATAAAGGTGCATCGTCTAGTAAGTCTACCCCTAAATGTGTTGTATTTAGGGCTGCTGCGGCAGTTTTGTCACTCTTTGCTTCAAATGAGGGTAACTCTTGTAGTAGAAGTCATATCCTTAGTGAGGCACAAGCAAACATTCAGTTGGGGAAAATCCTGGGCATCAATTATAAAGGCAGAGAGTCTGAAGCTTTGGAAAGGATGGTTGCTCTGGAATTAGTTGACAGAGAAAGGAGAAAGAAGAAGAGGAAAGCATAGGAGTTTTGAGTTTATTTATGGGGATTTTGGTGCTACAATAGTTTACATATGAAGTTGATGTCTTGGAATGTTAGAGGGTTGGGGAAGTTAGAGAAGATGGGAAGAATTAGAAAGCTCATATATGAAAGTAAGGCTGATTTTGTGCTTTTTCAGGAGACCAAGAAACATGGATTTTATGGCTGTGGGTTTTGATGGGACTGCTGGGGGTCTACTTTGCATATGGACCCAGATTTTTTTCAATTGGTGGATTATTGTAACAGTAGGAGATTTATTCTCCTCTCTGGTACCTTGCTGAATACATTTTTTTTTTATCGGACCTTGTTGAATACATTTCATTGTACTATTTTGAATGTGTATGCACCAAATGAGATGAGTAATAGATGTAAATTTTGGGAATCCTTGCTGAAGTTAAAATCTAAGTTCCCAAAACCATGGTGCTTGGGGGGTGACTTAAGTGAGATTAGGAATATTAGTGAGAGTGAGGGTTGTTCCAGAAGAGATAAGGGGATGTTGAATCTAAATTCCTTCATTGAGAGCTGTGAGTTAAATGATTTACCATTGCTTGGCAGGAAGTTCACATGGTGCAATGCTCAAGATGGGGAGAAATTGAGTAGGATAGATAGAATTCTGCTTAATTCAGAGTGGATACTGAAGTTTAACTTCAAATTATGGGGTCTTCTTAGGCTATTTTCTGATCATTATCCTATTTTACTAATGGATGATGAGAGGGATCAAGGACCTAAGCCTTTTAGGTTCATTAATGCCTGGACTCTTCATCCAAGTTTTTCCTCATTCGTGGACAAGGTTTGGCATGAATCTAGAATTATTGGGAGAGCAGGGTATGTTTTGTTTACTGGTTTGGGTAACACCTGTTTCAATCCTGGTAGGGTATCTGTCTACTGATTGTGTATCTATCTGTCTCACTGCTGTATCTATTTGGCATTTTGGTGTCTGCTAGGTTGTTGGTTTACTGGTTGTGCTGTGTATCTAGGTGTAGACATCCCTGAACATCCCGGGAGGGAAATCCCATTTTGTTCATCACTACAGTTCAGGACTCAAATGTCACGGTCCTGTATCTAATCTCGCAGAATGCAATGCAAGACCGATGAATCGTCAAAGAGTCCAAATTCGGCAAATCATTTTTGAAAACAGATTTTTTTGAAAGAAGTACCAAACATGGACTGCTTTGCCAGATACAGAGTCGCCACCTAAATATTTTATTTTGGGAAATTTAGGAAACCCTGACTCATTTGCCTAAGGCCACGTATCCGTCATCACCAAAGTTGCCTCGGCTCAGAAACTTGGGTACGATTGGGGAAGGTCACTTCGTGAGCACCCCCGCTCGCCCGATCAAAGACCGGCCTCTACTAACCATGATATCGAGTTTTGAAAACATTATGTGCTCTCATTCCGGTTATTAGCCTAGATTTACTATGTGATGCGCACAACATACAAGTATAGACTGGATTGCCTAAGTTGGAACAAAGCATCGCACATCCGTTTGTTTTGAAAATGGATTGAAGTTTACTACTCGCAAGTAGGCTAAAACACGGGTTTCGACGAATTATCCCAACTCAAGCAACCCAACCTTCACCCACAGACATTCAGGTAGGTATATCACATAAGCACATAGCCTCATGGTAAGCATGCTATCACGACAGTCACTCACACACATGCAAGGATGCTAAAGCGTAAATACTTACCGAGTACTCCAAGCCACAACAGAAACTAGTTAGTAATCAATGCATGATCCAAGTTCATGTTAAGATGGCTAATGCAACACATGAAAAAATGCAACTAAGATAGGCTCGGCTATTCTAAAATGGCATATGAAATGCAACAACTGATACACGTATTCAATTTGGAATTAAAATACAATGCAGTTAGTATGATGCGCCGAGCCCGGTGCATGCAATACAGATGAATGATACAAACATGCAAGCATAAGTATGCTAATTGAAACATGCCGTAATCTAACCATCATAAGCTGGTAAATAAAAGGGAGAAAGACGTGGGGTTGGAAGACATACATCACACACACGCACACTTATTACAATTGTGCCTTCGCTCGGAGGGCCCGAATAAATAATACAGTCCGAATAAATAATTAATTACTCTAGCTAATTAAATATTACAAAACCCTAATTAATCAACAATTTAACTAGAAAAGCAAATAAATTAGCATGCAAGCTAAATGGACCGCCTCAGCTCTGTTCTGAATGATGAAAGGTGTATGCGTGCTCGAGTCGCCTTGTCGGTAAATTCCATCGTGACGCCTCGCCTCGCCCTTGTTTGCAATTGATCTCAGAAAGTTGTACAAAGCTCCAGAAGGCTGAAACTCCACCTTGGGAAGGCCACCGACCAGTTATTAGCACGGGAGACCACCTGCCGACCACCCTTTGTGGTGGAGACCAAAGAGGGTGGTCGGCCTGCTTGAAAATCTGGTCGGCCGACTAGTTTCCACCTCTAGTTTTTGGTTTTTCTGCAACAAAGACAAGAGAGAGAAAAGACAATATATTTTAAACAAATGTGTGCATGACCACTCTCCCTATCATTGCACAAGCTCTAGGGAGTGTAGTCCTCGATCCTCGTGCCATCAATCATGCATCTTGATGCATAATGGCTGAGGAGTCAAATTTCACGACTCAATGGGACATGA